CTTCTGAATATCTCCCAAATATTAAAGATTAAAGCCTGGCACTCATGACCAGACTCATACTTTTATACCTCTATAACTCATATAGCTTTTGTACCTATAAGACATCTTTTTGTTTTCATTTTTAAAAGCAATCCACCAGTCAAGCTCTAAGTGCTAGGAAGTCTCCAGCTCTGTCTGAAACTTGGCATCTTTGTAGCTTGAGCTGTGTGTTTGCTCTAATTCCATTTCATTTTAATTATAACTCCATTTAATATTAACCTGCTGTTTTACAGGTGAAAATAGCAGAGTTTTCTCGAACTCCTGAAGATTTTTTAAAGAAGTATGATGAGCTGAAGTCTAAAAACACAAGACATCTGGATTCTTTAGTTTATCTGCTGTCCAAACTCACCGAAGACAAAGAGGTTGGTTCCTCCTTTAGAACTGGGTGTTGAGGAGTAGCAACAATGCAATGTTTGATTTATGGTAAAGCTCAGTGAAATCTGTAGAAATCAACAAATGAGCAGTTCTGTTAAAGCCCTGCTGAGGGTTATGCTCTTGATATAATCCACCAAGACATGGAAAACTGGGACAGAGTTTGGGGTTAGATTCACACATGGTCATGTGTTTCTTGCTTTCACTTGTGCTGCCCTGCATTCACAAAACATTTTCTTTGTTTCTCTATGTACAGACACTCCACTACCTGCAGCAAAATGCAAAAGAAAGGGCAGAACTGGCAGCAAATGCAGGCACCAGCAGCAGCAGCACGAATTTCTCCATCCCCTGCTCCACCTCCAAGATGTCTCTGCAGGAGCTGGAGGAGCTGCGCAAGCAGCTGGGCAGTGTCACAGCCAGCTCCAGTGCACAGCAGGTACAAAGCCCTTCCTTCCCAACTCTGGGCACAAAATCTTCCCTTCTCATAGTCAGACTGTGTTAAATCTTGGTGCTGTTCCTTGTAAAAGTGGCGTTTTTCTATTCCAGTCAGTTAAGCTTACATTCTTTGAGGTAATTCTAAGGTAAAATTCACAGTTAAATTCTTCTCTGTGAGGAATCTGGCACAAGCTGCCCAAAGCAGCTGTGGGTGTTTCATCCCAAGGCCAGGGCTTGGAGCAACCTGGCATCATGGAAAAGATACAAAGGAAGAGGAAAACCAGGCATAGCAAACAGCTAAACATTTCATTAGCAGCACTAGGTTGTGAAGTCAGAGTGCAAAAGGGCTGTTTATTACTTAAAATTTAAATTCTGTTTCCTGTCATTATTTGTATAAAAAACTGCACTGTGGTAGCTTGACCTGCCAAACAAGACAGGGAGAGAAAAAATGGTGAAAAACTCATGGGTCAAGATAAAGATATTTTGGCTGCAGAAGGCAGAGGGGCAAAAGTGTGTGGAGAGTTTTTTGGACAGAGGGGAAAGAAGAAAAGATGCTCAGAGGTCCATAGTGCCTTCTCATGTCTGGTCAGCAAAATCTAACAGGGGACAAGCCTCAGATCACTTCAGGCCCTCAGTGGCAAGAGGGATGGATTTATTCCATGTCCCATGCTTTGGGTGTCAGCTTGAAGGGCTCTACATCAATGTGATGGTGGAGGAGAACTCAAATCCTAAACAAAGGATCCAACCCCTCAACCTGTCAGCAGTGGTGAGACCAGCCTTGTTCCACATCCCCTGAAATACTGCACAGACACTGGGCCTGACTCATCCTGATCCTTCACAGACAGTCTGAGTCAAGTGGGTGATTTAGATCATGAGGGGAAGATGAATTTCCAGTGAGATAACTGATCTTCTTACCAGGATTTATGTGTGAACTTGCTAAAAGAGGACAGACCTGGAAGTGCCGTTCCCTGGGATGTGCAGTTCACAGCCAGAGGGATTGAAATGCCATCACAAGCCAAGATCTGTGCTCCCTGCTGCTCCATTTGCAGTCTCTTCAGACTTAAAGAGCTGCAGCTGTGTTCAAAAGGCCTGGTGCTCAGGCCTGTTGGGTCAGTAAGGGCTGGGACAGGAGGACATTCCTTGGAAGTGTTGGTTCTGCTCAGCCTGTGACCAGATGTTCTGTCTGTGAGGGTCACAGATGGAGCTGGGGGTGTTTGTGGAGCTCAGAGACCAGCCCTTCATCCCCCTCTGTACATGTTGGCACTGCCATTGCTCAGGATGTCAGCTGCAGGTTCCCCACCATGACAGTGGCAAGCTGCCACCCTGTGCCAGGGCTGTTGGGTGCCACCTGAGGGTTGGTTCTCAGCCCTGGGAGCTTTCTCCAGGCTGTTGCTGAAGCCTGTAGTGACAGTGACCTGAATTTTGAGTTGCAGAGGGAAGGTGATTCATGCCCCTGAGGCTTGTGCTTTGTCACCAGTGCCACAAGTGCCATCTGCCCTGGGATTGCTTGGCACTGACAGAGAGATGATCATGCAGGGATTGGAGTTACTGCTTGGACCACTTTTGGTCCAGGATTCATGAAGGTGGCAAAGTTAAGTGTTCCCTTTCAGGTGGATGTGTCCTTTATAGCCAAAATGTTGATTTTTTTGACCTCTGCCAGTTAACAAAGTCACACTAGAGCTGGTTGAACTGCAACAGAACTGTCCTTGTTATAGAATAAACATAGAATAAACATATAGAATGAATATAGTGCCTCTTGCTATAAAATAAAATCAGAGAGTCGTCAAATCCAGCCCTGCACTGAATATCACCATGCCCACTAAACCATGTCCCCAGCTGCCATTTCTGCCCATGTTTTGGACACTTCCAGAGGTGGTGACACCACCATTTCCCTGAGGAGTTTGTCCCAATGATTAACCACTCTCTCAGAAAAGAAATTTTTCCTGCCTGCCATTTGGGAAGACCCACTGGTGGCTGCCCTTCTCCCAAGCAGAACATGTTCATACAACCAACTGAGATTTGCAGTTTAATAGGTTTAGCCATCCTTTGAATTGCTGGCACCTTGCTTGATGCTTCCTATTTCTCCACATCCAAGTCCCAGTTCTGTGAGGGGAGCAGAGGAAATCGAAGTCCTTTCAGCAGATCTCCCACACATGATGTAAATAAGAAAGTGAAATGAGCCTGTGCTTATCCCTTTTCTCACACACACACTCACATCTGTGGAGTTTCAGCAATGGCCTTCACCAGCCCTGGCTTTGTGCACTTGGGGCTCCAAATGTTCACGTGGGCTGTGCATCTCACAAGCTTCCCCAGCTGATGATTGATCCTGCACTCCATTTATTTTAGTGTCAGAGCTGGGGGTGGAGAGTCTTTCAGTCTTCAAGAGCTCACTTCCTTCGCCAACTCCCACTCAGAGCAAAAAACTCCATCATTTTCCAGCTCTCTGGGGGTGGATTTGTCTGGGTTGCATTTGGCATTGAGTTCAGAGGTGCTCAGTGCCCCTGGAACAGGATGCTGGTGCTTCTGGAAGGAGTTTGGTGCTCTCTCTAAACCAGCAACCACTGCCTGCTGCTTGTGCATGTCCCCATTCTGCTTCCCTGGGGGTGCCCCAGCACCCAAGCCAGTGGGGACAGATGCAGAAAGGTATGATTTGATGTAACCCCACATTAAAAGGTCAAATATATTTTAAAAATTGAATTTTTTTACAGCAGTGGGACAAATAGACTAGGTGGCCCTGAGAAATTAACCCTCCACCATGCTACTGAAATACCAGCTACTCTCCTTTCTGTTCCCAAGTCCATCAATTGGTCTGCAGTCAATTTCTCCCTGAAATTAAACATTTCTTGGACTTCTGAAAGTCTCCTGATTTTTTCCTTTTTTCCCCTCTCTCTTTCTGCAACAGCCTCTCGAGCTTACCCGAAAAATCCTCCGGGATAAGCAGAACAAGAAGAATTCTGGGCAGCCCATTCCAGTATTTCCATCCTGGGTCTATGAGAGACCTGCACTCATTGGGGATTTCTTAATTGGCACCAGCCTAAGCACTGACACAACAGTACCAATAGGTATGTGAAACACAGGGGAAAATTGCATTCATTTGTGGTGTTTTGCCAGAAACAGAAATGCTGTCCAGATGTTCACACTCAGCAAAACTTGGCTCTTGGCACTTCTTTTCTTTGGGCTGTTTTCTGGTTATTTGAATATTTTGGTGGCAGGTTGGGGAAGTTGTTGGTGTGGGAATAGCTGGGCACTTTTGGGTGGCAGGATTTGCCTGCTGGATTTGGGTAGGGATGAGCAAAGGATTCTGTTTTCCAGGAAATCAAAGTACAAGACATAAACAGGTGGCACATTTTGTCCTTTTTTTGTCTTTTTTTTTTTTGTCTCCTCTTTGGGAGCAGGCACTTTGCCACTGGCCTCCCAGGAATCCATGATTGTGGAGGACTTGCTGTACGTGCTGATTGGAGTGGATGGCAGGTACATCACAGCACAGGCCCTGGTGGGCAGGCAGAACAGAGCCTTCTCACTTGATCCAAACCTGGACTTGTCCATCAAGGAGTTGGTGACCAGGATTCTTCCTGTGGCTGCCAGTTACTCTGCTGTCACCAGGTACTGAGCTGGGTTTTGTCAGGAGATCTCCTGTGAGAATAGAGAATCTGCCATTGTGTAGGTGTTAACTTCCATACTTAATTTAAACTAGAGGGTATAAAATGAGTGACAATTTATTTGGGTCAGTTTTAGCTCTGCTGGGTTTTTCCTCTGTGCTGCCAGTTCACTTTTTCATTCACACAGCTTTGTTCTTTCCAGTCTTAGCCTTGGTGATTTCAAATAAAATGCAGGTGTGGTGTATCTGCCTATTCTGGCTTCTCTTCCCACTCTGCTATGAAATTCCCCATATTTCCTGCTTTTTGCTCCTCTGTGGACATCCAGGACTGAGAGAACCTTTGTGTGCTGGTTCCACTTTCTACACAGTGCTTTTACAACAAACAAATGGTTCTAATTCCCTTGTGGCTGGAGAGGAAGCATCTTCCTACAGCTTTCCCTTCTAGGAAATGTGGGATGGGAAATAAAGGAGAGGGACTGGTGTGATTCCCAGCATGGGATCTACTGGTGTGCCTGCACAGTGTCCTGAAAGCAGAACTTCCTGAAAATGACACAAATTGCATTGTCTGACAGAGTTTTCATTTTGCTTTTTACAGGTTTATAGAGGAGAAGTCCTCCTTCGAGTATGGACAGGTAAATCATGCTCTGGCTGCAGCCATGAGGACTCTAATCAAGGAATACATGATATTAATTACCCAGCTGGAGCACCTTCAGAGGCAGGGCCTGCTGTCACTGCAGAAGCTGTGGTTTTACATCCAGCCCACAATGAGGACCCTGGAGATTCTGGCTTCACTGGGTAAATTTCCAGAATTTACAGGTTGTGGAAGCTGCAGGGTAGCCAAGCAGGCAGGGCATGTCCCATTTGGATTTCCTGCTTTATTGAAGAAGAAACCCCAGGGGAATTGTACTTGTGAGGGCACTGCACTTCTTGTGGAGAAGAGCACTCAGCTTCTAGGGGTGAATGAGCCTTTGGAGCTGTCAGGAGGCACCTCAGGGCCTTTTACCTTCACAGCCCTTGCCCTTCCCATCAGCTGGATCCATCACTGCTGCCTCTCCTCAGCTCCTTCCAGACTCTTCCCCAGCTCTGTGTGGTTATAATCCCTGGAAATTTCTATCCAGCCCCTTGCTTACAGCTACAGAGACAGCTTAGGGGGCCATGTCCAATCTGGGGATTTTATTTCAGGACTTTTCAGGTTGTAAGTTCTAATATTGTTGTTTTGTTTGTTTGTTTTTTAATTCCAGCTACTTCTGTGGATAAGGGTGAGTGTATGGGAGGATCAACCCTGAGCTTGCTCCATGACAAGACTTTCAATTACACAGGGGACAGCCAGGCTCAGGAGCTGTGCCTGTATTTAACCAAGGCAGCCAGCGTGCCTTACTTTGAAATCCTGGAAAAGTGGATATATAGAGGCATCATTAATGATCCATACAGGTAAAGAACAGTACAAAATGAAATTAAATGCAAAACTTCAGAAATTCTGATCTGCTTTGTTGAGTCTGTGTTGCCTGGGGGTCTGAAACAACCCTCTTGGAAGTTTTTTGGCTTTTGTAGAGTCATTTAAAGCATTTGGATGTATTTGATAGTTTATGCAGCATTTCTCTTTCCCACATTTTCAGAATCATAAGGTGGGAACAAAGCTGAAGGTAAAATATCTGAAATTAATGCCTTTTTGCTGGTGACAAAGGTGTTTCCTCACCCCTGCACTGACAAACAGATAATGTTTAGCCTTGGCTTATGAACCCTGTAAAATTCTGTTTCTCATTGCAGATCATCAGAGACACTGCATAGTGCTTTTCCTCTTGCTTCACAAACAGACAAATTTCAGTTCTTGATGGGATGTGTGCTCATGAGACCTTATTTCTGATAGATCCCATTGGCAGTTTGCAGGTCAAAACCAGTAATCCTCATTGTGCCACTTCCTGCCCCTAAACATCTGCTTTAACTGTTCAGTGAGTTCATGGTGGAGGAGCACGAGCTGCAGAAGGAGAAGATTCAGGAGGACTATAATGACAAGTACTGGGATCAGAGATACACTGTTGTCCAGCAGCAGATCCCCTCCTTCCTGCAGAAAATGGCTGACAAAATCCTAAGCACAGGTAGGTGCTTCTGCTGTGGCAGGAACCCTGAGACAAGCTGGTCTTGTGTGAGGAGAAGGGAAATGTCACCATGCCTTGCCACTTTATGGGGTTGTCCAGCTTAAATGAGAGCAATAGAAGAGTCAGATTTAAAAGGAATCCCAAACCCTATAAATGAAACAGCACAGGAGCCCAGCAGCAAGGGGAGCTGTCTGTCTCACTGCTGTTTTGTGAGCAGGTTTTCTGGCTGGATGGAGCTGAGCTTTGACTACCTGAGTGTTAATTTAAACATTCAACCTCTTACCCTTGTACAAAGCCCTCCAAAAGTGACTTCAAAAAAAGAGTTTCAGGCCACCTGCAGAGATGTTTTGTCACCACTGGGAAACCAAACCATTTCTAAATCTCCTTAAATGTGATACCAGCTGCCTATTTTAAAATTCTGTATCATCTTTTGAAAGGTGCCTAAATCCTTTCCACACAACTTTCAGCACAACACAGTGTAAACATTTATCAGCACATCTTCCTCTTGAAGGGAGTGGTGTGGAAGTTTCTCTGTTGGCTGTACAGCAGGGATGAATATGGGACATTCTTTCTTTTTCATTTCAGGCAAATATTTAAATGTTGTGAGGGAATGTGGGCGAGATGTCACCTGCCCTGTGGCCAAAGAGGTCATCTACACTTTAAAGGAGAGAGCCTATGTGGAGCAAATAGAAAAAGCATATAACTATGCCAGCAAAGTTCTTCTGGACTTCCTGATGGAGGAGAAAGAGCTGGTGGCTCACCTAAGGTTGGATTTATTTTACTAAATGCATGATAAATAGATTGGTTCTGCTAAGGGACATAAATTTTTGAAGTTAGCTCTGTTCTCTTGGGATATTACCAAGGTGTTCTCTCTATTTCCATTTAGAAAGGTTGACCTAAAAAATAAGAGGTGGATTTTGTTTTTTCCTGAAGAGGGAAAAAAAAAAGTTTAAAATGATAGAAATGTTGAGTGGGAAAGATGTTGGGGGGTCTCTGGTCCAACTTCCTTAGAGGGCTGTTGCCAAAACTAGGTCAGGGCTTTGTCTAGCCCAGATCAGGAGTGTGGAGCCACCCTGTGTTATGGCTGTGCTCCTGTTTTTGCTCCAAACCCTGCAGTTATCCTGAGTGATCTCTGGCCAGGCACTTGGTTAATCCTCAGGCTCATCTCAGAACTGCTTCCAAGCTCTGTGCCCACCACTGGGAACTCTCCCTGGTGCCAGGTGAACATCAAAGTTCATGTGTCCTGTTACAGCAAAAGTCTGCTGGATTTTAAAAAGCAACACAGATATTTGTTCACTGAGAGGAGTGCAGGATTCTGCTCACAATTGGCAGCTGCCCCTTGGCTGGAGCAGATCTGGGAGTTGTTCAGGACAGCAGTAGGAGCCTGCACACAACACACCCAGGAGATTTGGGGGTTTTTTTCATTTTTCTAGACAAAAAAACACCAGCAGCAGCCCTGATCTGACTGCACAGAAGTGTCCTGATTGAGGAGGTAAGGGGGAGGAGACATCCATAAAAGACTAATCTCCAAACTGGTTATTTATGGCTGTGTGCTCTCCAGAAAGAGAAACATTTTGTGCTCAAGCCCCCCAGGCTCATTTAATTGATTGCATTTCTTCCTTTAGGTTTGATATGGATTGCCTTTAAGAAAAGTCATCAATTATCTTTTCATTTTCTTGAGCAGATCTATAAAACACTATTTCCTGATGGATCAAGGGGACTTTTTTGTTCACTTCATGGATCTGACAGAGGAGGAACTGAAGAAGCCTGTGGATGACATCATAACAACAAGGCTGGAGGCTCTGCTGGAATTAGCCCTGAGAATGAGCACAGCCAACACTGATCCCTTCAAGGATGATTTAAAGGTGAGGATGGCTGGAAGCAGAAGATAAATTGATTTTGAGCAGAAGGTCTGGGAGATCTGTGTGCCTGTGAGACCCTGCTGCTGCCTAGGTTGGTGTGACAGCAGTGACTCTGACCTTGGGCACCTTGCTGCTGTTCCACAGCAGCTCTGGGTGTCCTGTGGCTTCATTTTCTTTCCTGCTCTTCCCTTACAGATTGACTTGATGCCCCATGACCTCATCACACAGCTGCTGAGGGTGTTGGCCATAGAAACAAAGCAGGAGAAAGCCATCATCAGTGCAGAGCCCACAGAGCTCACCCTCAGCGGCCTGGAGGCCTTTTCCTTCGACTACATTGTGAAGTGGCCTCTGTCCCTCATCATAAACAGGTAAGGCATCAATCCACTGAGGGAAAAACAGACTGGTACTCTCCCAAGAGGCCTTTCATGCAGGAATCAAACATTCCTCAAAGCTGGAGAGCAGAAGAAAACACACTTTCTGCTATCTCTGGTTGCAGACTCAAAGAATTCAGGTATTGCTTCTCTAACACGCTATTTTGCGTTTAACTGAGCTGTGAGGGTCCAAATGGAATTCTGCAGGAATTTGCTCCTTGTTTCCCTGGTAAAACTCTTCTGTGAGCCACAAGCAAATGGGAAAAGCAGAACTGAGTGAGCAGAGTGGCAGATTCCAAATTGCTGAATGCCAGCAATTAACTCCTCCCTTAATTTCCCCTCTAAAAATTCCTTTGAATCGGTGAGACTTTCCCAACGACGCGACGCTTTTGGGATTTTGTCTCTTCCTTCCCAACACAGTGTGTTAGCTCTGGTGGTAGCTATGGAAGTGAAAATAGGATTTTGGTAAGGTTTCCTGAACTGTATCGACTGGAGCTCTGCAGACACCTACGCCCAAGTGTCTGAGCACAGACCTGAATCCAGTCCCAGAGCTATAAATAAGCAGCCCCATCTGCTTGTGACAGTGCATTGCTGCTGGGGTAATGCTGCCTGGAGCTTGGTTACAGCTTTGCCTCCCCTTCTTTGGAAAATCTGGCTAAATTCTAAAATCCTGGTGAATTCTTGGGTGACCATCTCAGCCTTAGCATGGTGACCACAGTGTCTGAACCTTCCCTCCCAGCCCATGTGAGTGACCCCTGCCTGGAGCTGGAGGGAATTTAGGAGGCTGGTGATGAACCCACTGGCAGGAAATATGGAGGAGGGTCTCCTTGGAGAGGAATTCTTTGGGGGGGGGTTGCAAATGTGGCTCTCTTGCTTCGGTTCAGTGCAGATCTGTGTGTGTCTGAAGGCGTGAGGAGCATATTGTGTAAAGTCTCTTTACCTCTGAGCAGCCTCAGCCTTCACAGCTTGGTCTGTCAATCAGAGCAGGACTTCAAAATCTGGATGGGCTTCTCCTTTCTTTCCAGGAAAGCACTGACAAGGTACCAGATGCTTTTCAGACACATGTTCTACTGCAAGCACGTGGAAAGGCAGCTGTGCAATGTTTGGATCAGCAATAAGACAGCCAAACAATTCTCTCTGCATTCAGCTAAGTGGTACAGCTTTTTATTTGGTTTTTTTCAGTTTTGTGTCTCCTTCTTGCTAATTAGATACCTCATGACATAGCTCAGATAATACTGAGCTGAAAAAGATCCTTAAAAATGTCTTGCAGGCTCAGAGACATCAATTTGTAACATTTTAGGTTTCACTCAGTAGCTGTTTGTAAAGTTGCTTTAATATTTCATATCAAAATGTTAGTTTTATATGAGCAAATATTCAAAGCCTATGCCAGGTTCAAAACTCTGACTCTACTAATTGATGAAAAGCCATGAAAAATACTCAGAGCTGGTTTGCAGTGACTATAATCCCTCTCACACTGCAGCAAGGCATTTGCTAGGACAGAAATATTTAGCTCTGTGCTTGGCTGTGCAAGGCTGGTGCTAGTTCTCCGTGGCATTTGCTAGCTCTGAGCTGTGTGGGTGTGATTTCTCCCCTAGGTTTGCTGGTGCTTTCACACTGCGGCAGCGGATGCTGAATTTTGTGCAGAATATCCAGTATTACATGATGTTTGAAGTGATGGAGCCAACATGGCACATCCTGGAGAAGAACCTGAAGCTGGTGAGTGAAGTTGGAATGGAAGGCTTAACAAATGGAAGGCCTAATTTCAGTAACTGCAGCTGTCTGTTGGTTTTGTTGGAGGCATTAAAATATCTGGGAGCTGCTGTTCCTGCCACATTGCAGAGTGCTGCTGTTCTGCACCACCTTTCTGCTTGATTAGTCATACATCCCTTTCCTGTGCTGCATCCTCCTGTCTCACTCTGCTCCCTGTTATGTAAAGGCAGGTTCTGCTCAACATTCCCATCCACAGGAGAGAGAGAGCTGTGCAAAAGGAAGGTGGATGCAGAGTGCAAAGGTCATAAACCAGTCCAGGCATCTCCAGCTGATTCCTTGGCTGAGTTACAGTGCTCCTAAAGTAGAGCCTGTGCTTTCCCTTCCATGAAACTGCCAAGGACTGGCATGCAGAGAATGCTTGGTTTAAAAAATACCATTATTATCATCATCATCATCATTCCCTCTGGTAGTCAAGTCACCCTGTGATCAGACTTCTGGGTTGTGCATCTTTTTCCTCTTACACCCTGAAAAACACAAAACACTCCTCTGAGGTACCAAACCACCCAACACCCCTGCAGTCAGCTCTCTTGGCAGCTCTTGTGGCTCTTCAGCATCATCTGATCCTGCTTTAGTTTTTCCTGTGCCCCAAGGAGGTTTTGGGGGTCAGCTAGCCAACATTTTGATGCCCTGTCATGTTTTTTTCCTGGAGAATTCACAGGAGGGAGCAGGTCTAGGATTGTGAGTGTCTCTGCACATTCTTGGCAGAACTTCTGAATGAGAAGAGTTCATATGTCAAGCTCCTGGATAATCTGGGAATTGTACTTATTTCTTAATTTTGTTGCAAGTTTAGGTTTGCAAAATGTATCATTCAGTTTACTGTACTTGCATGGAAGCTGTTGTTGAAGTTATCCTGTCCCTGTTTTCTCCTTTAATTTGTATTTTAGGGGGGAAAAGGATGATCCTCACTGGTCTCATGTAGTGCCTTATGGTGCATTTTATTTGTCACACTTCTCTCTTCCTAAAGTTGTGGCTGGGATCTTCATCTTCATAACATCAGTGTCTTCATCAACACAATTTCATCATCATCTTCATTAGAAAGCTGCATTTATTCCTGTTCTGCAGTAGCTTAAAGGGATGTGGTGTTGGAATCCAAAATGCAGGGAATTCTCAGAACTTTGGGCTTGTAAACTAAAGCTTAGAATTAAA